GCTATTATAATTGGATTTAATTTAATTTTGCGTCTCTATTCAAAGGAAATATTTCAAGCCTTTAAAAACATCATGCATATTTATTTCTAGATGATACCACGGCTCGAAACCCGGTCGGAGATAAATACACAATTTTCTTCAAAGTTGTAAGCTGTTTGCAAGAATGCAGGTGAGCGTTTGTCCCGATCGCTACATTAGTCTCCTTCATGTCATCAGCAATTTTTTTGAAGCTATCAAAAAGAAATCTGCTGATCACCTCAACAGAAACAACCTCCTCAGCGACAAACAGTATCGGTTTTGCCCTTCTGTGTCCACTTCTGATGTCTCAACTATCTTTATGCATTTAAACAAACACAGCGTCTTAAATAACTCGAAGGACAAATGTTGTATAGGGGATTGTATGTGTGTGCGTGTGTGTTAGATAGCCGTTGTATAGATCAGACAAATAAAAAAATATTGTCAGTTTATGGTTTTGCTGTATGTCGAAAGTCTGTATCTACGTCATGAGTCTTATTGATTGAGTATCTGAGTGGGTATATTTTTCACGACGGATATATAGCGTTCATTGAATAAACTTTAGAAGTTAATCTGTCATGTTTTATCGACGACCAAAAAAAAAAAAAAAAAATTGTGAATGTACCTCTGTCTTAAATTTAAATCCTTACTCGAATAACAATACGAATAAATGCATATAATAAAAGTAGACATAAAATTTTCGTTTACTGTCTTTGAAAGGAAAATCTTATTTTTAGAGAGTGTACAGACGACCAGGCTTTTCGCGTGTACGTCTGTTACTGTGACCATTAAATCATAGCTTTCTAGATGTGCTGATTACCATGGAGCTTTGTCCGCCTTATAACCATCTTTGAAATCTTTTTTGTTTTATCATTAATATCCACCAATGAATTAAGTTTATTGGCAGAAAAAAAGATATTATGTTGAGAAATAAAAGTTCGTTGCGTGAAGTACGTTTTTTCATCATTGGGCGATGGTCATATTGATTAATCGAGAGATTAGCCAGATAGGAGTTCTAAGATGGCCAAACATGATAACCAATGACAGATACAAGTCTCTGCTGGTAAAGGGAATGTTACACATTTATTTCCGATCGATTTAGATTGAAAAAGGAAATATACATGAAAGGTTTGAAAAAAATACAGTCTTTCTTTTTCATCTTTCTTACATTTTATTTGTGTTCTCTTAAGTTTAATTCGGCAAAACAATTTCCCTTCAAGCGTCCCGGAGCGAGATCTGAGAACTTTCTTTATATAATAACAATGCCATTGATATTTAAAATCCAGAATGACTAACTGAAAGAAGTAGCTGTAATCGAATTATTACAGATCAAACTGAATGAGATTGCACGGAGTGACTCAATATTTTTGTACTTGTATTGAATGTTCCTTAAAGGTTCTAAATAATAATAATGATCTAGAATTCTAAAGTATTCATAACACCAGAAACTTGTCATTGTTTAGCAAGCTAGTGTAGTAGATAATTCGTTAAGGACTCTATTATTCAGGCCTTGTGCCACACTAAGCTTTGTTTATTTAGTAAATTTTAATGAGTTGCTTCATGACTGAAAAAGATGTCTAAAATTTAAATTTTTCTTTTTAATTCAGTACATTAAAAAAGTTTATTTTAACGTAACTTTGCTATTTAGAAAGCCAAAAGAACTTTTAAACAAAGTGATAAAGCAAAGCAAGTAGAAAGAACTGTTAATTGTGAGAAGACAGAATGCATGGTTATTTGGCAAAAGAGGCAGTCCAAGTAGATTTAGTTATCAGTCGGAAGCAAACATAAATTTAACTCTCTGATTAGTGCTGAAACAGATGACAGAATGTGTGGCAGAAAAAATCCTTCCAGAAACTAAGCAAAGTATTAAGCGATATGAAATTGGATTAACGACAACAAAAAAGCCAACTTTCACTGTAATATTTAATCTATATGGCAGTGGATGTTGATCAATCTCTCCCACAAATAAAGAAAAAGTAATGGACCAACAAAAAAGTGCTTTCTAAAGACGAATACACGCATTTTCTAGCATGGAAAAACAACGTGAATAGCGAGGAAATTTCAAGGAAAATATGAATTACGAGGGACCTGATGTTAGCAATTAGAAAGTGACAGTTAAAAATGTCCGGACACTTAATGAGGAAAGAGGATGTGGAGAAAACAACACTCACTGGGCATACTAAAGTCAAGAAAAACAGCGAGAAACAAAGAGTTACATAATTAATGAGTTGAAATGAATGGATTATAAAACAAAAAACTAAGATGGAGGGGTTGTAAAAGCGACAGTGTTTCTTAGAACAATAAAAGACAACACTTTGTAGGGGGCCACCATTGCCCACCTCCTGAATGAGCCTGGCATGTAAAAGAAAAATATGAAATTTCAAAACTAATTAAATTTCGAACAAAGATCTATATTCACAACAATAAGTTAAAAAAAAAACTTAACTACAAGACAAATAAAGAAAATTAGAATTAATTCAATACTTTCTTTTATCGCCATTACAAACAATGGTAGCTTACAATCTCTTACGTTATGATTTTACCAAGATTTTATAGATTTCAGCTAGCATTTTAGTTCATTTCTCATGATAGATGACGTTCTGGTTAACAAGAGTTCTTCTACAGCTCTTTTTTTGTTTTGTTTCGCGGTTTCAGTTCTTGCCACAAATTCCCTATGGCATTTAAGGTATTAAATTATTGTCTGCGCCACTCTGTAACGTTAATATTGTTCTTCGGGAAACATTCTAATGTCACTTATGAGTGAATATTTAGGGTTATTATCCTGTTGACAAGGCCAGCGCCTTGTATTTTAAAAACTTCCAAATATGTAGCATCATCGATAAAGTCAATTTGTTACCATTAAACATAAAAAGAACTGTTAATTGTGAGAAGACATCTTTTTGGCATATCATTATCCTACCTCCAAGAAACCACTGACAGGAAAATATAAAATCCTTCCAGAAACTAAGCAAAGTATTAAGCGATATGTTAGAGTTTTATTTTCTCTTCATATATAGCTCATTATATTTCAGCCAAAAATTTCATTTTGGTCTTATCTAATTCTCAGAATACCAGAAAGACTGTCGATTTTCTAAATTCATTTTGGTGAATGTCAGATAATCCTTAATATGTTTTGACAACAGCAATGGGACTGTCTTCAGTTTTTCAGAATAATCTAATACATTTCTGAACAGTCATTTGATAGTGTTCAAGCAACGTACTGTTCCAGCTTCTTATAAATCTTTTTGAATTTCTCTGAATGTCTTTATTGATCTTATCTCTTTCTGATGGATATTCTTGACAACAAAAACACTTTTACAGGGACAAATTATATCTTCGACAGTGGAAATCAAGATTTTTCTGTATTCTAACACACCATTGCGCAGCTAAAAATGTTTCCAAATGTTTTATGACATTTCTTTTGTCTTGGACATCTTGATACCTCCAGTGTTTTGATCTGATTCTTAATAATTGAGCCAGGGATTGAAATCTCCAGTGTTTTTATCTGATTGTTAATAATTGAGCCAGGGATTGAAATGATCTAGACTGATTACTCGACCCTGAATATTTTAAACCAATAACAATTTTCCTATTGCGGGGTAAATGATGAGAATAAAACTTATTTTTATCAGAAGATACTGAATATTTGTTGCTACTCTTATTTCTGCCTTTTGCCAATAATATTTCACTGATCAGTTTTCTATCAATTCATTTTGATTTTGTATTATTGATATTGATCTTTCTATTAATTTAATTTCGAAGCTTTATAATTATGTTAAAAGAAACTTTTGCAGTGTATCAAATACTTTTGCACGCACTGTACATAATATAAGTGCTCAATGAAAATAACAAAGACGAAATTACTAGTCCGAATAATTCATGTAATAACTTCCAAATCTAATTTCTGGTTAATAATCAATTTAAAGAAGACAGTAATTACCAGAGGCTATCTCGAATTTTCTTAATATATTAGCCGTATATTTTCTCTTATAATATATTCTACATATGAACCTAACGCTGCACTATACATCTATTACAATCATGTTGAATTATATATAAAGAATTAATATACGTTTTCTTGTGACGCTCTTTGATATTATTTTGCCTACAGGGTAAAAATTAATTTATTTATTTAGTTTAAGCAAATTTCGATGCCGACTGAGAATAAAATATATTCCAACAGCTTTTAATATATTTCAATGCAGTATGAAAATTACCTCGATACAAAAAAAATCGACAAAATCTATCTTACAGAAACAAGGTAAATAGAGAAATATATACATAGATATTCGACGTGGCTATTGAATATTTTACAAGTACAATGTACTGGATACTAAGTTTATGTCGTGGGCGCCGATTTTGGGTTTGAATCTCAAGCACTCGGGGCAAATCTTCAACTATGTCAGAAGTTAAGTTCCATCAATCACTAGATAGATAAAGAGAAAGAGACTATTTTAATTCTGTTGCTATAAAAGAATGATGGAAAACGCAGTCTTACAAAATATCAATAAAAATCAGTAGCTGTATTTTAGAGGAAAACAATAATTTATAGATCTTGATTTTAATCCTCAAAAATGTCAAAGAATGTATGCAATAAAATCGGATAAATATAATGTATTAAAAAAATCGTTTTATTGTTTTTATTTTTTAACAGCGAAAATACATTATAATTTAATCAAATAATATTTTAATCAAAATAAAACTGTTACAAGGACGATACAATACGGAGATTTAATATATGTTAACTGTATTGATTTACGTTGATTGATCGATTCTTTTTTTTTCGGTTTACCAACACTGCAGGTTATTTAAAGCCAGAAAATATATTTAGATTGTAAGAATTATTTTTGGAGATAATAATGGCTTAGTGTTACACGTCTTACTATTTAACCCATAGACGGGAGAGTAATGGTATTTACGCGTAAATGAGTATAACGAATCCATATATATGCCATTATCCATTACATCACCTGTATATACAGGCTAACCACATCTGGTATTCCCAAGCGGTCACTCATCTAAGTATTGACCAAGTTCGACGTTGTTTAACTTCGGTGATCGTAAAGGTACTGGTGTTTCAACGTGATGTGGCGGTAAGTCTACTGTTTTTCGATAGTCATATCTTAATTAAAAGTTTTGTTCATAATATACTTTTACGATTATGGAAAAACGATAAGTTTTCTTCATGAATAATCTGACATTTCAAAAATGGATCCTTTTCTTTTTGCAAATACACCGTGATGAAATCACCTAAAAAAGCTGCTTTCAATTTTCTGTCAATGAATATAGCATCTAAGATTTCGGTTTCAGATAGCTTTACCAATCGCAGAAAAATTGCAAAAGTCTTATAAATACGAATGTTTACTAACACAACTCAAATTATTTCTCGACGAATACCTTCCACGAATTTTCTCAGTCATCTTTTTTTAACGATCAGGCATCATTCAAGGAAAGTTTTTTTTTCATCTCTTCAACAAAATATATGAAATCACAGTTGTACTTTTCGCTCGACCGAAGTTTCTTCTTTAAATACTAAAATGAAGTTTTTTATTTGCTTTAGATAAATTGTGTTCCAATTTGACTCTGAAAAAAGAGTCGACGTGCTACATTTAAAGACAACGTAATTTGAAGTTTGAGAAAGACACAGATTATGATGAAAAAACGGTCTGCAAAAATGAAAGTACAAGAGAATACATATCATTTTCACACTAAGTGGCACGAAGATCGGTCATAAAGTATTACCTATTCTAATTTAAATTTGAAATTATTAGAGTTTCTTAGCTATAAACCAGGGAATGTCTAGAATCCAAAGAAAAACATCTGTTCAATTACTTTAGTCTTTTTACCCATAATCTTTCAATATGGCTGCCCATCTGAACATGTAGCAGCAAAATAGTTGTCAAATATTTTTTTTTTAATTTTGAAAGACAAGTGCTATAAAATTCAAAGAATGTTGCCAAATGTTTATAGTTATGATACAATTGATTTAATCACAGTAAAGAGATGTGTCAGTAAAACTAGTAACAACTTTAGAAAATGTACTCAGTGACAGGCTCTTCAGTGGCAGTCCAACTGCTGTTATGCATGACGATAATCCCGAACAATCCGATACTTTTATTATAACGGAAAGAAGAAAAACCTGTGAAAATTTTCAGGTGAGTCATGGTAGTATGTTTAGTTTGGTGCAGTACTTTGTCTCCTACAGAAAACGGGTTCCTAAGATGCAGAAAGATTCCATGGTTCAATAGTTTCTGAAGATGCACAATATAGGCATTACTTTTTTCAGTATAACAAAAACAGGAGATGATGTCTGGAATCATCACAAAGAGTCATAGAGCAAAAGGAAATGTATGGCGTATCACTACTCTGACTCAGCCAGAAAGAAAACTTTAACTTATGCCCGCTCAGTTTTGGGAAGGGATGAAATTCTATAATTTATAATCAATAGAACCATTATCGGTTTCATCTGTAGGATACGTGGTGAGCACGTTGAGAAAATTCAAGGACTGGTAGGTAACATTTAAAGATGAGTGATTGTCTTTTGTAACATGACAATGCACGGCTTCACAGCAGGCTAAATGCTAGACAAGAAGTGCGAGAACTTGTACATCTGAACACGCTTAGCTCATCTCTTTGCGTCCATGAATGAAGCAATTAGAGGATAGTGGCATTCTAATGAAGATAAAGTGAAAAATAATGCAATTCGTACATTGTTAAGAATAAGCCAATATAATTCTGTCAGGTGGCTAAACATATCACTCAAAGATGGAGTAGCATGACTGATAAGGAAGGACACTTTATTGATGACTATGTTTGGAATACTTAGAAGTTACTGCTTATTTTCATATAATTTGTATGCTCATACTCTTAAAGGTGTTTTAGTTAAAGAAGAGCCATTATTACTTTTTGATTGGCCTTTGTTTAATAAGCATCGAATTAAATACAATTTCTATCCCATCAATCTATTGAATCTTGCAACTGCGTATTCTACTAAATTATCAAATTACAATTTCAGAATAATACGCGTCAACATAAAAAGATTTATATGTTGTGTATATGACAAATACTGAAGGCGTATTTATCCTTAACTAGAGTGTCACGTCCAGGTCTATCATGCTATATCACTATATAAATGCTATATCCCTATCTAACTATATCCCTATATCCCTATATCCCTATATCGCTATATCCCTAAATCGCTATATCACTAACTATATCCCTATCTCGCTATATCCCTATCTCGCTATATCACTATCTCTCTATATCCCTATCTCTCTATATCCCTATCTCTCTATATCACTATCTCTCTATATTACTATCACACTATATCCCTATCTCTCTATATCCCTATCTCGCTATATTACTATCACACTATATCCCTATCTCGCTATATTACTATCACACTATATCGCTATCTCGCTATATTACTATCACGCTATATCGCTATCGTACTATATCCGTGGTCGTAATAGCACTATCTCGTTATATCACTATCTCACTATATATCTATATTGTGATATAACTAATTCGCTATAACACCTTCGTTATATCGCTTACACTATTGTAAAAGGAACAGTCTGTGATAAAAAAAGTGTAAGCTGAGATCGATCAGTCTTTTGCTATTTGTGGCTAGTAATCAAAATTTATATCTTCTAATTCCAAAGATCCTTCCCCCGCTCCGCCAAGGCAATGTACCTATCAATTGCTTTAACATAGTGGGAAACATTGACACCTATACACCTAAACCATATACGCTAGCCGACTTTGCCTAACAACAATAAAAATACAATTTTAACATAAAGGATACAGATTTATAAAAAATACATCAGTTGATAAAATATGATCAGTTTTAAAAGTAAAAAGGTCACGTGACACAACGTAATGGATGAAAATATCGTGTCCAGCCGATGGTTAATTACTTGGTGTTATTAATTATATAAGATTTGTAATGTGAATAAAATACAAAAAATACAAATCCCAAGATCCTCTTCAGATAAAATCTGTGTAGAATTTAACACATTCATACTATGAGGACCAACAGCTATTAATTTAGAAGGTTGAAAACTCCATTTTAATGTATCAGAAGCAATATTATTACTGATCTGATTAATAAGGTAGTTTTCTGTTTTATGAGATTTTGCCAACGGCAACTTCATTCTGGCAAAGATTCAGTGGTAATTGAATAAACCATTTCCAGGCGAAAAATATTTGCTTTTCTATTTCACTTTGGTCTTTTACGTGTATGCCTACCCCATCCCCGTCCCATGGAATTCGATGTGCCTGGAAATGCTAATTGCCTGATTGATGGGCAAAAAGAGCAAAAGAAAACCTCAACAGATGAGTGTATTTTCATTATGAAATTTCATTAAGCCTTCAGTAGAATTTAAAACTCAAATATTGCACCAAATTAGAAGACTTTTATAAGTTGTATTCTCTTATATTCCATCATATCTACATAAGTATATTTATTTTCGTCTCGTCTACATTTTCAGTTAAATTCGATTTTGGTTCTTGATTTTCTTTTGATTTAATAAACTTTTTTTTTCCTTTTAGTTAAAAGTTAACAGAAATCTGGGAAAATAAAATGCTTCTGAAAAGTCTGTTGGAATTTTGATTTTAATATGCGATTCCGATATTTAAACCTTTTCCTTTTTCCTGTTTTTACAAGAATATAAAATCGTGCAGTCAGTGAACGGGTTAAAGTATAACCCCAAATAACCCATTTATAACCCAGTATGACCCATTTATCTAAGAAAATGTAAGATTTTAGTATGGATGTTTTTATGTGAACCCCTTTGAGCTCTGACCCCTTAAAAATGACGTAATGCTCAGCCACCGGTTGAACAGTGGTAGAGGAAAATGACTTAATGCTCAGTAAAAACTTGTAATTATTTTTGTATCCACCTTGAAAGATTAAATATCAATCATTTGCAATTTTTGACTCAAAAGCTTAGGCAAAAGAGTTAAAATTATTCAGGAATGCCGGGCTGAAAGGGTTAAGTTACTATCAATTAATGTAATGATTACAGAAGGCATCTTTTGAATGTTTTAATACTGTTTTGAATAAAATGAGGTTCAGTTTGATTGCTCGAAAGGGCATAATATTACTTTACATGCATAACAAATTTCTTTAGGTGGTTGGAATTTCGAACTGAACCCTTTCAGTTCGAAATTCCAACCACCTGAAGAAGGCCGGAGCGTACAACGGCCGAAACGTTGTGACAAATATGGCGACAAAAATGAGGACAATAGTCCGACTAATGTAAATACTGTGCGAATGTCTATATTGTTTTCCACCAAAGATATTTTCGAATTCTTTTTTATGTAAAATGAAGTTCGTAGCTAGTTGACAGGAAGTGATGTGATAACAATGAAACATATGGTAAAGAGGTAAAGATTAACATAAAAATAGCAAAGATCTACATATTGCCGGAAAGAAAATGCCAATAGCACCTTCATCAGATGATGATTCTGGTGTCATTTTTTTTTCGTGGTCGAAACATCATTAACACTGACCAGATCGCCTCAGTATTACTTTAACTCCAAAAGTTATTGTTTTCAATTTCAATGCAGAAATTGCCAGAGGAAATTGAAAATCTCATATATTTATTATATTCATAACTTAATACTCAGTTTTTCATGAGTTCAGAAATGAACATTAATTTAATGATTTTGAAATGAGTGGCTAACAGAATATACCAAGGGTCTCAACGATAAAAGTGACCTGAAATGGCGAGACGTTAATATGGCGTTTTCTTTTCTTTCTGGCAACTCGTGACGAAAAACAAAAGAATCTTGCGTACTGCCGTATTTTCCCACGACTACTTCCCTTCAATCGATTTACAATTTCAATCTAAGTTATGCTTTGCCGGAAGAAGTAATCAATTTTATTGAGATGTTTTTACACTATTTTCTGTCATGTTGATGTTATTATCTCTTAACATTTGCGACATCTTGGGGAGCATATTTTATTAGTTCACGATGTGGTAATTTTGTCATGTCACAGCCTATTATATATATATATATATATATATATATATATATATATATATATATATATATATATATGTGTGTGTGTGCCTGAGTGTGT